CAAGGATGCGCGTTGATTCCTAAACTGGATCCATAGAGGGCGTGACCAAAGTGTGTCATGAAGCACAGTTTTTCTTACCCGTTGTGATATACCAGTAACGCACCATTCCGCAAAGAATGGACATTTGTGGAAAGCGTATACACACCGCGTATGGCCGTCGAACTACCAAAAAGGGCTCTCTTTGGGCAGGCTTTTGAACCCAGTATACCACTAAATTATCGCAACGTCCTTTTACTAAATCTCGAGCAGAAATTATGCCTCCAGCTTGCAAAAAATGTCGGCCTGACATTTTATTCAAAAACGAGAAAACCTTTATGGTAATTGGCCACAGCCCTCATGGGACTGGGTTCGGGTTGTGTTTTCGATTCTCTCGTTTCAGGCGCTCTGAACCATGAAAATAAAGCAGACAAATCCTCAATCCGAGGGAGGTCCTTTTACCAGTGGAGCCTTAGAAGGGCCGTGATACGTGGTAGGGACCTTCAGATGCAAAAGATAGCGTCCCAGAAATTTCATTGTGTAGCTAATACACAATATCAATACAAATAACAATCCGCCGTACTTTTTCAAGATTTTATTTTCAGAGACAAAAATCTCATGGATTACGTATTCCATATAATGGAAAATTATGCGTCTAGTCTGGAGGATGAAGTCGAGGAAAGAACAAAAGAGCTGGTGGAAGAAAAGAAGAAAAGCGATCTGCTGCTCTACAGAATGCTTCCACAGTAATATTACAGTCACTTATTTCCAAACAGGGTCAAGACGACAAGAATCCCTTCTAATACAGCCCACCCCATTCCATCTAACCTAACATGAAAAAAATGTAATGCAACCGCGGCTTTGTTTCAGGTCCTACGTTGGTTTTCAAGCTCTCCCCAAGTTATCAGCTCCCCATAACCCTTCGACTGGAGGTGTTGTAGCTTTACGAGCGGGAAGCGCTCGGGGCGGTAGTGTGGCAAAGGAAGGGACAAAATGGAGGTGATCCCTGTCTTGCTTGCATTAGAGCAATCAATCCGCGGCATTTAGCTTGACTCTGACCGGATATTTCCCTGTGCAAATTGGACAATAACAGAACTATACTGGGCGCCGGTCTTTTTTGTACCTCACCCCCTTTCTCCCGTTTCTCAAGGCCTATGCAAGACCACGTTTACCACAGAATTCCCCAAATCTCCTGGAAATCTCTAGAACCCCGGTCGCTTCAGTTCGACTTCACCCTCCCACCTTCTATCCTCCACACTCACCATTAAGTTCTTATCCAAGGACATCGGTCCTGCTTTGAACCTATATTTGTTAGAGTGGAGGGCGAAAATTCGTCAACTATTTCTAAAATTTGAACAATTTAGGCAAGTGGCTGATCACC